ATAAAATGCTTGTCTTGTGGGTGACGACACAAGCATTAAAAGAAGGTTACGCAGCGGCCCCCATAATGATCTTGTCTTAACGAGATCTTTCGGCTTCACATTGCAAACCACAAACATAAACTTTATATTTATGAAAAAAAAAAATAATGATAAACCGTCTCTCAAACTTTATAAATATATCTTAGAAAGAAGTAAATCGAGTGTCTCTAGGTATGAGGAAACATCAGGTCCACCATTTTTTGTTTTTTTCTCTACTTTATCATTACCATAATTATCTATTTGATTTGACGTGATTGTCCAAATCGGTAAAGTCGTTTTGTCATCGACCACTTACCCACAGAACGACACGAGGCGATTAGGCCGAAATTTTCGCCCGTCTGTTATGATTTAGGCCTATATCAAATGGCGCAGAGGAGGAGGGGGACTCGGCGCTTATTGGGAAAGATTCGGCCATTAATCGACGTAATTGCGGACGCCGGATTCCCTTGGGCGTGTTATGCGGCTCCGGTGACGTGAAATGATATAATATCAATCGAGGGATTTCGTTATTTGTGATTGTTGAAATCTTGAGATGTTGGAACGGGTTGGTGTACGTGTGGGGAATGTCACGCTTGGGTGTGTGTGTTTGTGTGTATGTGTGTTTATGTGCGTGTCGTGTATGTGTTTATGCGTGTGTTTGTTTGCGTGGGTTTGTGTTTATGTGCGTGTCGTGTATGTGTGTGTGCGTATATGCGTGTGTGTGACTGTGTGTGTGTTTATGCGTGTGTGTGTGTGTGTGTGTTATGTGCATCTCGTCTGTGTGTGTGTGTGTGTGTGTGTGGGTGGGTGTGTTTATGTGCGTGTCGTCTGTGTGTGAGTGTGTGTGTGCGTACCCAACTCCATCTGCATCAGCATACGGATTTCCACAACACGGATGCCCACGACACCAAAATCAGCGAGAAAAGACTAACCTCGGCCGCCCTCGCAGCACCAGTTGCAGATCCCCGCCCGCAGGAGATGAGGAGTCGCGAACCCTCATCTTCTGCGCCAAATATAGATCGGATGCATTTCATTCCCGCTCCATCACGTTCTAGTTGTGAAGGGGGAATTGTGTATCTTTCTCCTCCCCCAAGCACATAATTGCGGAGGAGAGTAGTGGATAGGAAGAGAGAGAGAGAGAGAGAGAGAGAGAGAGAGAGAGAGAGAGAGAGAGAGAGAGAGAGAGAGAGAGAGAGAGAGAGAGAGAGAGAGAAGAAAGGTGGAAAGGAAGAGAGAGGGCAAGAGAAAAAAAAAGAGGCAAAATTGATATCAAAACCCGTAGAAAAATAGAGACGAAGAGGAAAGTGATAAGAGAAGGGGAGCACCTAGTTCCACCCCCCCCCCCCCTTCCTCCTTCCTATGACGCCCATAGCCGTGCCTGGGACGCGTGGGCGCCGCTGGAGAAGGGAACAACAAAGCCTCTCTCAGCCGAGGGCGGAAGTGCACGGCGAAGTAGCTTAAGTTGTGTTTTTGTTTACACGTTCCGCCCTTTTTTTGTGCTGTAAGCGACCGGGTGGTGGTGGGCGGGCGGCGGCGTGGAGGAGGGTTTATTTAAGGGCTAGAGTGGTCAGTGTGGGCGGCTCGTACTACAAGTGAAGACGCCCTTTTCTATCGTTGAGAGTTTACAGGTCTTGGCCCCTAATCGCCTTGCGTCTGGGGCATGCGTGTCGGGAGTCGCCGAGAGAGATAAAGCGACCTGATTGTTTAAAGAGGAGGTACTTTTTTATGCGCGGGGACACCATTTGGGGATGTTAGTTCAAGCTGCCTGAGGGTTGTTACGAGCGCCTTTTTATTGCTGTGTGCGAAGATTTGGTAGCGAGCTTTATAGCTGGGACAGTCAGATACGCTGTCTCGGACGTTCAGCAACTACTTCAAGCTGTTTTTGGGATGGTATGGACAAGTATAAGGCGTGTATTTTTTACTTTATTTCGCTAACCATGTGATTTCTCTCCCCCTCAGGAGACGCCATGCTGAAGCACGCAAGCCCCCAGAGGTCCACCTCGAGCCTTGCCCAGCACCTGAGCGCCTCCGCCACGGTCCCGCGGGCGTCCGAGGCCAGTCGCGTGCCGGCCGTGACCGAGGCCTCCGACCGCTGCGGCGTCGCGGCCCTCAGAGACTCCTACAGCGAGAGAAGCGTAGACTGCGACAGCCTGATCGTGCCGTCGTCGTACGCGCAGGCCGAGAAGGACGTCGGCTACCAGGTGGGCACGTGGTCGGGCGTGTCGCAGGCCAACGTGCGCCGCGGCCTGTCGTTCAGCTCCCGACGGGCGCCCGACACGCTCTCCTTCCGCTCGGTGCGCAGCGAGGGCCCGCCGGCCTCGCCCGAGCACACGCCGCCCTCCAAGATGCCCACCACCAGCTCCAGTATGATGAACGTGTCCGTCCTCAAGGACAGCGACGTGACGGACACGCCCAAGGGTGGGATGCAGTGCCTCAAGGGCGACATGTCGAGCCTCAAGAACCTCCTTCGCCTGCCCGGCGTCCGAGGCCAAGCCAAAATCATGGAGGTGGGAAAGGCAGCGACTCTCAGCCCGGACAGCCTCAGCCTCAACTCCTCCGACAGCTTCTTCTCGGCCAACAACAGCGGCCGGACCTCCTCCAGAAGCTGGTCCTCCAACGCTTCCTCCAACTCCAACACCACCAACTCCTCGACGGGCTCCAACAACTCCGCCTCCGAACCGGCATCGGTAAGTGATCCTGATTTTTTCTCAAAAAAGCTTATGCAGCCTTGCGAAATCCCGGAAATGTAATCCATATAGCCTTCCGGAATGGCTCAAAATCACTTTCCCCCTCTCTACCCTCTCCTCCCCCTTCCCCCTCCCCCCTCCTACCCTCTCCCTGTCCTCCCACCCTCTCCCTTCCCCCCTCCCCTCCCTCCCTTCCCCCTCCCCACCCTCTCACCCTCTCCTTCCCCACACTTCAAGAGAGACATTGCTCGTACAAATGCCTCGTGCGTGACTCCTCGGAGAGACAAAGCTTCCAATAAAATAAGAAAATAAAAGAAATCGACCCAAAAGATCCGGTTATTCAAGCGGTCGGTCTGTAAGGTTAAAACCCGTGACGAAATTACACTTAAAATTACACTTAACCTTTCCGTCAATCGACCCACCTGGCAGAACACATACACAGTCGCTCGCCGTTATAACAGCCGTTTCTAGTGTACGTCAGGACAAGAAATCAATACGGTTATGCTACAGACCTTGGACAAAACACGCTTCGGTTGGCACTTACCAGAGCGTTCTGTGTTCTGGCATCCATGTGAATATAGTCTATTATCCTCTCTGTCCGTTAATATTTATCTCAGCTATTCGTCTTTTTTATTTGAATAAAGTAAATCGCCAAGGGTGGTAAGCGATTCTCCAAATCGTCAGTTTCCTCGCTAAAATCCGGTACTGATTCGAACCAGGATTTTGTGGCGAGTCGAAGCGCTGTGAAAATGGCGGCATTTGTGGCTAGGTTAAATCTGGGGAAAAAAGCGTTTGTGCAGCTGCTGGATCCTTCTTCCTGGTGTTGTATATTTATAGATATTTTCCCCTGCAGCTCACATTCACTTTGGTTATTACCTGCGACTACGGATACAACAGAACGCGATCTTCTGCCGGAGTCCTAATGTTAATGTTCTTGTGCAATTAGTGTTCCTCAGAATAACTGCATTAAGCGTGGAAGAGAACTTTCCTTTTCATTTAATAACGAAAGTGCATTGCAAGATTGCAATCATGATCGAACAAAACAGCATAGAATCGCTTTGTGACGCAACATTACAGTAACAAGCATTCCGGGGGGAACAAAACACAGATAATGCATGGACCGCTAACCCTCTCTTTCGATCAGCTGGTCATAGAAGATCAAACGCCCCAGGATTTTAATGCTAGACAAAAGCGACGTAGGGAAAGAGAAAAAAAAAACATTTAAACTAACCAGCTAATTTACTTGAACTTTTAGAAAGAAGTGAACAGCACGAAAGACCTGCATTATGTTAAGCATCATGTTGTATGTACTGCATGTGGGTCTTGGGAGCGAGCCGACTATCATGCCATACAGGTATAGGCGGGGATGGTGTGGATGTGGGTGGGTGGGGGGGGGATGTTTTGGGGTTTAGGGGAAGGGGGGAGGGATGTGGCCCCTGTTCTCGGTCTGCCGGCGTAATAAATCGGAGGTGAGTCACGTGGGCAGACGTGCGGAGCGGCGCGGCGGCGGCGGCGGCAGAGGCGGCAGAAGCGATGGCGGAGGCAGAGAGATAGACTTCGCTTCACTATCGTGGGTTTCGGTTGTAGGGTTGCGATGCTCGTCGAACTCCGGGAGTGGTTTAGGGTAATTAGGTTTCCAAAGAGGAAAAGGGAATATCTTCGGTTGATTTTTTTAAAATAATTACCGTGGGTGATTTTCAAACCAGATTCGTAGTTTCGGCTTTATGATGATATTCGTCGAGAGGCAAGAATGTTTTACGTTTGTTCGATTCCAAAAGGAGAGAGATTTTTATCTTTAGCAGTAGGAGTAGAGGAACCAGAATGGGGAAAATAGTCGCCATTTTGCGGGACCAGATCCGTTGAGGCGAAAAGGCAAAACGCCCAACTGGTTCTGCGCACGAAGTCAGACCATTCGCCTCTGCTTCACTCTGGAAAGAGAGAGAGAGAGAGAGAGAGAGAGAGAGAGAGAGAGAGAGACAGAAATGAGATCAGAAGCGAGAGAAGGAGAGAGGAGAGACAGAGAGAGAGAGAGAGAAGAGAAAGAGAGAGAGACATACAGACAGACGTAAACAGAGATTGGATCCGAGAGAGAGAGAGAGAGAAACTGACATCCGGACTAACTCTCTCTCTCCCTCTCTCTGTCTCTCTTTCTCTGCTTGACTTCATTCGATTAGACCCGCTTTACACCTCGTTCTTCTCCTCCTTCTTCCTCCTTCTTCCCCCAAACCGCAACTGACCCCTTCAAGACGGAAGATAAATTCGCCACCGGAGGTCAAGACGGTATTTCAAAAAAAAAAAAAAAAAAAAAAAAAAAAGGGGGAAAGGAAAAAGGAAAAAAAAACGGAATTGAACATTTGAAAAAAAGAAGGAAAAAATTACCGGACATATGGTGTTCGAGACACAACACGGCGAGAGGTTAGTTTTATGGCCATGTCTCGGCGGTCCCCTCGCTAAGAGATTTTAGACCCGCGGGTAAAATCGACACCCAGCTCGCGGTTTTGATACCTGTGGCAGGGAATCGGAGGTGGGAAAGATCGTAAAATTCTTGTAGCTGTGCATCTGTTGTGTCGACGAGAGAGAGAGAGGGGGAGAGGGAGAGAGAGAGGGGGGGAGGGAGGGAGAGGGGGGGAGAGGGAGGGAGGGAAGAGGAAAGAGAGAAGGAGGAGGGAGGGAGGGAGAGAGAGAGAGAGAGAGAGAGAGGGAGGGAGAAGAGGAAGAGAGAGAGAAGGGAGAGAGAGAAGAGGGAGAGGAGAGAGAGAGAGAGGGATGGAGGGGGAGAGAAAGAGAGGATGAGGGAAGACAAAATAAGAAATGGCAAGAGTAGAGTTATAAAGAGAGTAGAATAAAGACATATATAAAGACACAGGTAGACAGAGAAGAACCCAAAGGAGACAGGTAGACATAAGAAAAGAAAAGGAGCAGGAAAGGGAATCGGAGAGAGAGAGAAGAAGGAAAGACAGACCCAGCCCAGATCCGCGAGACGAGTGAAGTGGCTGAAAGAATAGCAACCCAGCTGAGGAAAAAGAGACTTCAGTGGCCAAAAAATTATCCTCGGAAGAACAATGCCAACGATGCCGGGACCGAACCAAAGACCTACCCCCCTCCCCCTCCCTCCTTCCTCCTTCCCCCCCCCTCCCCCCGTGTAACCGCCCCTGACCGAAAGCTCTTGGTCGAAAGTACTCCTCTACCCTACCCCTACCCCCCCCGACGCAGATAAATCGTGGTATGGGGCGAACTTTCATTCTCTCTTACCTTCTCATCTCTATCTCTCTCTCCTCTCTCTCTCTCTCTCTCTCTCCTCTCTCTCCTCTCTCTCTCTCTCTTCTCTCTCTCTCTCTCTCTTCTCTCTCATCTCCTTTATCTATCTATCGATATATATGTAGGTATGTGTGTGTGAGTGTGTGTCTACCTATCTGGTAATCTACCTACCTTATCTCTCTCTATCTATATCTCTACCTATCTATCTATCTATATCTCTCCGTCTCTCTCTTCCTCTTAGTCTCATACCGGTACTACACCGGGAAGTTTCTAACCGGAGTGAATGAGTCACCGTTTTTTCCGAAAAAAAAAACATTTTTCTACTGATTTTTTTTTTTTTTTTTGGAAAGAACGATCGAAAAACGTTTTTTTCCGCCTCAAACAAGTGAAGAAAGAAAGTCAAAGGAAAATCCTTTGCCTCACTTTTTTCTCTCTTCAAAAGAAAACGAAAAACGTTTTTTTTTTTTTCCTCTCTTCTTGTGCGTCGAGTTGGTTCACGAGAACCGATTTCGTCGGAATTCTTGAAATCGGTGAGGCCGTGACAGTGACTGTGACAGATTTTTTTTTTATGTGATCGACCTCCATTTCCGATTTTGGAAGCCCTTGATCGCCAGCTTTTGTAACTCAGCATATTTAAAGGATTTGGATATTTGAATTTATTTTGATACAAACTATTTCGGAAAAGTTGTTGGTAATTCCCAGATAAATAAATAAAAAATAATAAATCGGCCGGGGAAAGGGGTGGAGTGAGGGAGTTTATCAAATGCCGGTGAATATTTTATCGCCCCACGTCGATGGATCAATAAAATGCAGGAACTTCCACGTCATCCCGATAAGTGCTCTCTCTCTCTCTCTATCTCTCTATCTCTTCTCTCTCTCTCTCTCTCTCTCTCTCTCTCTCTCTCTCTCTCTCTCCTCTCTCTCTCTCTCTCTCTTCTCGTCTCCCCTCTACTCTTCTTCCTAAATCTTCTCTCTCTCTCTTCATCTACCTTCTTCTCTCCTAAACCTTCTCCTCTCTCTTTTCTCTCTCTCTCTTTCGCCCTTACCCTCTTTCTCCTCCTCTCCCAATCTTCTCCCTCACTTCCCCTCTTCTCTCCCCCTCCTCTTCCTCCCTCCCGTCGAACAGCAAAGGAAACATACCCTCACATTGTCAATCACCCATCGATAGACAAGTCCAAAATTCGTGTCCGCGCACTCACTCCGGATCTAAAAAATCACGAAACAATACGAAAGTCAGGGATTTTCACCACCACACGCCGCCACGCATTCGTTGTGGGGTCGACTGGCGTTCGTGTGTGTGTGGATGCTGGTGGTGTGTTCGGGTTTGGGGGAGGTTTGGTGTGTCTGCGTGTGCTGGTGTAGGGAGGCATGGATGGCGTGTGGAGAGAGATATGTATGTACATGCACATATATATATGTACATACATTTCAGACACACACATAAAGTCTCTCTCTTTCTGTTTCTCTCTCTCTGTCTTTCTCTCTCTCTCTCTCTCTCTCTCTCTCTCTCTCTCTCTCTCTCTCTCTCTCTCTCTCTCTCTCTCTCTCTCTCTCTCTCTCTCACACACACACAACACACACCACACACACACACACCACACACACACCACACACACACACACACACACACACACACACACGCAAACCCTCCTGAACCAACACACAGCGTACACAACAGAGGGTCTCAGTGCTGGGCGTCACAGTAATGATCTGGTCTCTGTCTCTTCGACCTCTGATCCAGA